TTGTCCTGTGGAGGAATGAGGATTTGATAAGCACTGCCACAACGCATCAAATCTTAATCATTTAACTGTTTCTCCTGCCTGCTTGATAGCATCAGTGAAGGTTTAATGGCTAATTTGTTCTTATCAAAATTAACTGGAGACACTGGTTGTGTCCTGGTTTCCAGGAAACGTAGTACAGTGGTTAAAGAATTATGGGTGTAATGTCTCATAGTATCCACTGGGTGGAGAACAAACTCAGTAAGAACAATGCTCTCGTAAGATAATACACAACAGTAAAATGAGCAAGGAAATTCAAACTAATCTTTTCCAAATCACAAACGTGTGTATGTTTCAGAGGTTGATTTATCAACAGCATATGATTTTCACAGGCTCCAATGTCCATCATGTTGTGTTCCAAGCTTATAAGGACTTAAAAGAGAGGACTTAATTTCTGATTTTCTCAGATTTTTAATTTGATTTATCCTGTAGGTTTGACTAAAAATACCAACTGTGTTTTCCAATAATAGGTAGAAATAAATAATCAAAAACATCATCACTCTGGTTGCAGTTTGCTCTTCCTTTAGAGCCATTTGACTGCAACGTTTAGTTGTGTTTTTTTTGTTTGTTTGTTTTGAACAATACTGTCATTTATTTTTACTAGATTTGATTAAGCTGGAGTAAAGTTCAGCTGTCTGAACTGATATTTTGTCATTCATATTATTTAACTTAAGCTAAAGTTTACAAAGAGGCTAGAAAAGAACAATATTAGCTTATTGCACAAACACATGTGAAGGGTACAAAAATATAACGTAGTAAAAAAAAAATAATGACATTACTCAATCTGGAGATTAAGAACAAAATTAAAAAAGGTCAAGTAGTCAAGAGAGTACATCTTATACTTGTGAAAGTTTTGCTGTAATAGCTTAGGTCTCAAAAATTTATTTTCTTGAAACATAAAAACATTAGTTTTTCCCTTTAAATTTTCAAGAAGAAACCTCAAAGCAGGGAAACCTGGACCTTTGGTATTTTGACACGTTACATGAATTAACATGCTGGGATATTTAAAAACTGTATGCTCTCTTCCATTATGGGTAACTCACCCGATTATTAGACATTATAATCAATGTTACTAATTTAAAAAACTATGTTGCAAGCACATATAATTGAAGTTTCACCCAAATGAATGTGTTCTGTGCAGTGCTTTGTGTTTCTTAGTGTGCGCACAGACAAGAGACGGAATAGGCAGGGTTAAGAGGACTGCTGTCCTCCATAGCAGCCATTTTGAGGATATTTGTGACTATAAGGTCAGTGTTTCAGCCTCAGGATGAAAAGCTAACAGCAGAGTAATGACAGAGGGGTAAACTGGAAACAGGAGATAAAACCAAATGGGCATGGTTGAAAAGGTTGATTACAGAGCCAGTTTGCCATAAAGCAAAGGAAGGAAAAGAAGGAGAGAATAAAGAGGCTGAGGGAGAAAAAGAGAAGTCAAAAAAACAAAGATATTGCTGAGAGAAGAAAGGAACTAAGTATTTACACACAATGAACTACGCCTTTGCTGTTTTATGTTTTATGTGGATTTGAAAAAAAAATATTTTTGTTTCCTATTCTACAAGAAAAATTCTTCATTTCTTCAAAGTTACAGATTTACCCTGGAGTTATTATGCATTGCATCCACACAATTTAGGAAACATGGCACTACAACATTCCCAAGCAACATTGGAAATGTGTCCTTGTGTGACATCACTGAAAAACAAAATCAAAAGAAACCAGGCAAGATAATGAAGAAGAATATTCATCTTTCCAAGTCTGGTTTACCTTTGCAATAGTCAGTGAAGCAGCAGAGGCCCCCCGGAAACTCAGGAGGAGCAGCAGAGATCTGCAGCTGAGGTGGAAGAATATGTTGACGTGACAACGATTACACCCTGAGCAAATTGTGATGGAATAGACTTAAGCACAAAGCTTCTTTCCATCTAAAGAAGCAAAGTGAAACTGTTAAAATGTTCACATAAAGAAATTTGTAACTGAATATGGTTGTGGATGGTAACATGGGCTGAACAATGTCTTTCTTTAGGTTCAATTTGCATGGAACAACAATCAGCTGTAAGCGCAAAAACATCTTAGGTAACAGAAATACAGACCTGAAAACAGTCTGTTTTTAACGGTTTAATTTTTTAGTGAATTGTGTTGTCAAAAAATAAATTTAAGTGATGTTGTAATTTATTCAACATGATTGTGATCATTTCAGTTCTTCACCCTTTTCATTGTTTTTAGACATTTGGCTTACTTTCACTTTCTCCTTACCTTACCACCCATTTTTATCTTATTTTCTCTCTCCCTCCATCCTGGTGAGCAGGTGCACAGTGACAGAGTCACTGAGCCATGAAATCTCTCCTTCTCAAGACACGTTTCTTGCCTCCCCTACTCAAACACACACACACACACACACACACGCTTACCCATGCAAACCGCTATTTTTTTTCTACCATTTTTCCATTTTCTTCTCTCATTTACCTTATCCTTCACTCCCGGCCTGATCAAAGATTCAGAAAACAATGTGCAGTCTTGATTGTTTTACTGAGAGGATTACAGAAATTCTAACGCCAGTGGGATGGAAAATGTTTCCAGAGTTTCATTAGCAACAACAGAAATCTTTGTATGCACGCCCATGCATGTGTGTACTTGTGTGTGCAGCCTCTGCTGCATATGTCTCTGACCACATCTACATCTTTAATGTCTCAGACTGAATAATGTATGAACCCTCCGGGCTGGAAGACGCACATACACGTTTTCCACCTACACAGAAAGCACAACTAAACACTCGAGCCACAAAAAAAAAAAGTTCAAACTAAGTGTTTTGTTTTAAGATAAAATCATCTTTTGTGGATCAAAGAGAGCAAAGCCGAGTTCAGAACAGACCAACACTTCCTGTTCTTTTAACATAGTGGCTTTTCTACTACCAGTTTCCTGTTTACATGCTGCAAATTTCCTCTCGACATGAATTCAGGCTTCACATAAAATGTCTTTCTTCTCTGCCTGCACCTGTACTTTTACGTGCTTTTGCAGCTGACCATTCAGCTTGTCACTCGTCTTGTATTCCTCTCTCTTGTTGTTCCCAGGCTTCAGCCGCGAACAACTTAAAACTTCTAATTTGACTTTCAAATGTCTGCATGCTGTCATTTTTTTTTTTTTCAGCATACCCACACACACTTGGCTTTTCCCCGGCCTCTTATGAAGATGAAGATGTGAAACTGAGGTCAAGGTTGGTTTCCACGGCAACGATGAATAATGATGGCATGACCCACCTGACCAGCAAGCTTCTCTCCTCCGCTGCTTTGTATGAAGACTGCTGGAATTAACGAGCTTCCGCAAAGCTGCAAGTGATTCCTTTAAAAAATTGTCATGTTACTCTTTATTTAAACACCACACAACATTATGCATATATTGGTTTATCAAGTTTTTGAGAATATGGATTTCATACACAATGCTTTATTTCCAGTTAACTTTGTTTTGGAGTTTGTATGCTTTTAATTGCTTCAACCACAATAAAGTGTACAAACCCCCAGACCAAATCTACAATATATTAAAGGGATGATATTAAATTTGTTTTGAGCTTAGTTGGAATCATTTTGACGGGGGCAAAAAAATCTCTTAAAACAATCCTGACACAAATAGATTCTATGGTAGCTACCTAAAACCTTGAGAGCTTTAATGTTCCTATAAAACCTGGAAAACAACAAAAAAAAAAAAAAAAAAAGCGGCCACTGAAAAGCCATCCAAACAGCAGGATACGGCGCCCTCAATTATTCTTTCATATGTGAGACAATGGTTCACTGGATAGTTTAATGAGGAGGAAAATAAGTGACTCACTTTGAGTTGTGATGCATATTTATTAGGCAGGGACCCAACTATTCAAATCAGTTTTTAGGACACATGCAGAGCGCATATTTTAGATAAACCTGCTTCATAACTCTCCAGGGTCCCTCGGCATTTCTATTTTTTTTTGTGTGTGTGTGTTTTATTTATTATTACTTTTTGTTTGCATATATTTGCTCATGCAAAAAATTAAAAACTAGCCTGCTTTTATATTGTGGAGTGGATTTAATTTTTCATGAATGTTTTTATTCAAGTCTTTCATAAGACAGCAATCTGTGTCTCCCTCTGGATTTTGCAATTTGTTTTGTAGGTTTACCCTTGCAAAACACTTCCCTTTTTTTTGAGATATTGGTGTTAAAATGTCTTCAGAATTTAATATTTTATTATTTTCCATGGAATTAAGGTGTCTTTTTAAATCTACTATAAATCAGCAATTTTAAGGGACTTATTTTTTGTATTTTAACTGACAAAATTGGAAATTAGCAGGTTAAAATTTCGGGAGATTTAGACATTTGTTATTTATTTTGAGAATTGAAGCTAATGTATTTCTTAAATTGGATATTCTGGTTATTCTTGTATTTTTGTCATGCGACTTGCTTTTGTGTCCACCGAAAGACTAGAAAGCCACCAGCCTATAAGTAGAGACTAGCTGCGTTTTGAACTTTACATGTCCCAGAGCCCACTAACCCCCCGCAGCGGGCGGCTGCGCTATACTACAATCACAAATCAATCAGGATGGGCTATTAGGAGCGTGGAAACCGAGCTATCTTGTGGCGTCACGTTAGACTTGCTGCGGCTGATCTCTGCTGGGAATGTGAGTCACTTCTGGCGCAAACAAAGCCCACCCAGTCCCTGTTGGGATTTGGAGGGTTAGCAAAGCAGAACAAAAATAAAGGAAATACAAACTTTTACTTTTTTTTTTTTTTTTAATTCTCAACATTTTTTCCAACGTTCTTTATCTGTCAGTTTTAAATCATATTTTCAATTAAACGCGACTCCCGCGTTTACTTTAATGAGGAATAGGCTTTTAAGAGTGAGTCGGTGTAGCGACAGAATGATAGTAGTAAACCTCCGCACTGAAGAGACGGAGCGCCGGGCACGCGTACGGTGCCTTGCGCGCTCCCGCCCGCTGCTGCGCACAGACAGCCGGTGCGGAGAGAGAGAAACAGAAAGAGAGAGAGAGAGGGAAAGCTGCTATTAGTTGTGACAGAAAGCGGCGTCAAGCACATACCGTCTGAGGAGCAGCTGCTGCGACAAGGTGGGTTTAAGGAAATATATTTTATTATGCTCACACCAAGATTCGTTTGGCTTGGTCGCATATTTGGAGCGCTTCTGTTTTCAGCGCGGTTGCCATGTCCTCCAGCTTGATCCAGCGTCCTCCTCTCCGCGCTTGTTGTTGTGTATCCGCAGATGCTGAGCGTCGCCGTGCTGTGTGTGTGCGCCGTCGCCTTCGGGCACGTCTCCGCTCGCTCGGACAGCGGCAATTTTCTGGACGATAAGTGGCTCACCGGAAGATGGGATAAATTCAGAGATGTAAGTGACGTTTCTGGGTTTTATTAGCAGATAATACCCCCCCCTCCCCATCATCACCAACAACACCCAACCCCCATCCTCCCAAGTCCCCCCTTTTTTTCCCCTCCTCACAGCCTCACGCATTGGGTTGAGATCATGCGCTCCTCGTTTTCATCTCGTTGTCTCAGCGACGCGTCACGGGTTCCTCTGTTATGTTTGTCACACGTTCATCAGCCTCTTCACTCAGGCTGTGAACAAACCAACAACCATTCAGGGAGGATCCTTGCTTGTGTGTGTGTGTGTGTGTGTGTGTGTGTGTGTGTTTTCTTTTTTCTTTTTATAGCTGTGTGGTTAACAGAGGTAGCCAAGGCCTCAGAGACACATAGCTGTCTGTGAGTGACCGAAAAGGGCCTAAATAGGTAGAGACAGGGCCGCACCGAGGTTGACTGGGACCCTGAGGAGAATTGGATCTGGAAGGCCAGTTTTAATCGACTCTTGTTTAAGCATCGCGAGGTGCAGCTCACTGTTGTTAATAAAAGTTACAGATATAAAACCATTACAATTTATCACCATAGTGTTCTAAAGAAAACTTTTGAGTCGTCATAGTTTTTTTTTTCCATAGCGCCACCACCTCTCCCCCCACCTGCAGCTGCACTGTGCTAGTCCACTGTTTGTAAGAGGATTTCAATAGTCAAAAAGAAGAAGAAAAAGAAGAAGAACAAGAAGAAGAAGAAAAGCATTTGGAATTAATTGTGAAAAACGCTGTGAGTCAAGGAGTGGAAACTAATTAAGGTACTTAGGTTTCAAACTGCAGTGTGCAAAATGTCTGTTTGGGGTTTATTTGCACCTCGGCCAGTTTGGTACCTGACTTACTTGGATACTTCAGTTTGAAATTTTCAGGTGAACTTTTTATGTGTACTTTTATAAAAGAGGATTTATAATAATTTTCTATATTAGGGAGTCATATTTTGTAAGAGTGAATTGCCCCAAACATGAATCAGAACCTGTATAATTAGAAATAGGGTTTAAAACAAGATTTTAGTTAAATTCCATAAAATAACATAACATATAATATAAAAATGTACTGATGTTTGAATTGCCGCAGGATGACACATGGCACGGCTGCCTTTCTGCTTTACTTTGCATGTTCTCCCCATGAACATCGGTTCTCTCAAAATACTCTGGCTTCCTCCCATCATCCAAAAACATGCATGTTGTGATAACTTGGCTCTCTAAGTTGCTTTTAGGTGCAGTGAGTGTGTGTGTGTGTGTGTGTGTGTGTGTGCCAGTTTCTGCCATGTGTGTTTCTGTGTTACCCTGAGGTGGAGAGGCGACCCTTCCAGGACGTAGCAGCCCTGTCCTCCACTTACCACTCAAGATAGACAGATAAACAAGGAAGAAGAAAATACGAGATTTGCCCATTTGTGTATTTTACTTCACAATTAATCAAAAATATTTGTCATCTAAGATAACTGCATTGATACACAACTAGATGTGGGATGAGACAAAAGGGGAACATGTGGGTAAATGGGGGAGGGGGACTTTACTAATTGGCAAAGGGGGGAATTGACCTGTAGCTGTCTGGTAAGCGACCAGCTGTGGGCCGGCTAGCCTGACCGATAGCATGGCTAGTTAGCTAGCACATATCAACTTGTTACAATTGTAGAAAAGGGAAATACCAGAAAATAAAAAACAACAAGCAATCGGATGATGTTTTACAGTCGTGTTTTGAATGTTTGTGCTAATAGCGTAGAAGATGTGATGTTTTCGCTCGAGGTCATCACACCACGAGAATCTTAAAGAGTTTCATTCCTATTTTAAATTCTGGTTCTGCTAAGCACATCTATCAACTTATTCATTTAATATATTTAATATTAATTAAATTAATATTTAACATTTTAGATTCTAAAAAAAATAATTTCATATGAATTATCTGAAGCAATGGGGAAACTGGATTTTTAAAAATGTGTTGGTTCAAACTGAGTGAATTTAAAAGTTGACATATTTTTGAAAACTGGACCACAAAGCAAACAATGAAATGTATTTTTTGTGAGAATTTCGCGTCTCTTGGCAACCTCTCACTGGCCTCACTGGCAGGGGGTTAAACTGTGTTTTATTTGCTCTAGTCCGATGATCAAAGTTCTCTATAGGAATACAATAAGAACATTTGAAATAGGACCAAAAATTTCGCATCACCAGACACAATTTGGCTACAAAGATGGCCCATAAAATGTCAGCCTGTGAAGAAATATAAGCCAAGATGTTGCGAATATATTATTATTATTTCTCTATATTTGGTTTTGCATAAATGATATAAAAAAAATCTCGAGGACTTATTAAAACACTGAAATGTAGAGCATGTCCTCTCAGACATGGCATCCTTGTGGGATCATTAAATGAATATTACAGGCTGTCTGTCTGATTAGGCCTACCTGTAGCCTACATATGCTTCCCCAGTGATTTGCCTCTTCTCTCAGCGTAACAGTGATTTACTGTGAAGTGATCCGGCTGATTATGCTGCTGCTGAAAGCCCTCAGCAGCACACTATATGTCAGCCACCATTAACCTGGCATGCTAAGGCCACTTAGGGCATTAATGCTCCTGCAGACTCTGGCGGATAATACCTCTGATCGTGTGGTCCTGTTGCTCAGTTTGCTGCAATTAATCACCCTCCTCTGCACTAATTCCTGTATCGATTAAACAACCATTTAGTAAGAAAATGCTGCGCTTTTTTTTTTTTTTTTTTTTTTTTAGGAGCGTTATTATTCTTGTTTTGTGCACTAGGGGACTTGAATGCTGCTTCTTAAGATGTTTTCAGCAAGTAGCTGCTGCTGTTGAAAACTATTGAAATTACTGCTCTGTGCTTCACATGGCCTGTCTTCTGCTAAAAAAAGATATCATGCCTCTAGCCACGCGTTTAATGGCTCCACAAGCGCAACAGAGTGCATGCTCCGACTTGTACTCACAAACACACACACACACGCACACGCATACACACACACACGAACGCACAATAACAAATATGAGCTTTATGTGCAGCAAAAGGATCGGCGTGCACATTAAGCCCAGAAACCATCTTTTTGAGAAAAACTTGTCGTTGGATTGAGTCAGAAAAACATCAAGGTAAAGAATTGCAGTAAAATAAAGCTACACTCCAAACTCAATAGAAGGTCATTTCCTGTGTGCTACAAATGTAGGATTTATAGCTCTAGAGCCAGAGAGAGATACAGAAGTGGTGTTCTTTCTGTTTCTTTTTTTATTCGATTTTTCATCTCCTTTAGTGTCGGGACAGACGTTTTCTCTGCTAGCCACGGCAAAGCCCTTAAGCGCAGGTGGACCCATGTGATACGCCTCAGGTCCTAAATTGGATTATGCAAATACGCATCCAGGAACAAAAGGTTGGAGAGTAAATTTTACTGGCCATGTGTCTGTTCTATTTATGGTTACCTCTTTTCCTGAAATAAGGAGACAGACAGTAAAACAGACAAAGCCCCTTGCACAACTATTCATACGCATTTTTCATATTTTGTCATATCACAGCCATATATATATATTTTTTAAAAGAATGCATGGTTCAATACAAAAAAAAATGTAAATTTGAATATTGTGGGCTGTGCACATAATCGGTAGAGCTGGGTAATAAAATTAAAGCAATTTTGATTTTTCCTTGATAGATATATGAGAAAAGGTTGATATAAGTCCTTCAATATACAGAAAAGACGATAGCCAGTGATAGTAAGAGCTTGTCCAGTTTGGAACAATCATATGACTGGAAAAGAGAGACTCAAAGTTAGGTTAACACATGCAGCACAGTAGCAGTCAGACAAGCTAACTTCTAATGTTTGTGCAGCTGCAGCCTCTTAGTTCAGTTAAAGGGTACGGCATGACGGGAAAAAAAAAAAAGAAAAACAATGAGACATCTTTAACAGGAATAGTTTAGTCATGTGAAAGTATTTTGGCTATTTAAAGTCGGACAGAAAACAAAGCTGCTGAAATTTTCATTGAAGATATCAATTTGTTTATTTTTTCTTTGCCTGTTTATATTTCTTTTTCTTTACTTTACTAAAATAAAGCAATATTTCAAATGGGATAAACAAAGGAGACATTTTAAGAATTTATATTTAAATTCCTATTTCATTTATTTGACATCAACAAAAAGTGTTTTTGTGTTTAGTCTTTAATATTTTAATTTAAATATGCCTCTTTTATTAATTCAAAACATGGAGCTAAATACAGGATAATGACGTATTTGAGGCTGAAACAGACTTGACACTATGGCAGAAGTTCACTTTCCAACAGACCTCTAAGCATACAGCCAGAACTACAATGGAATGGTTTAGATGAAAGCATATTTGTTTTATATTTGTGCCTTAGAATGATCCCAAATTTATAGCTAAACTGAGAATCTGACATGAAAGACATACAAATTGACATGCACTAAAAATCTAAAGAAGCTTCAGTTATTTTGAAAAGAAAGACTGTTATTTGTTAAACGATAAATAGAAAACCATCATTTTTCCTATGTGGCAACAATTGGGCGTTCTCACGTAAAGCAGCTTGTAGGTATGATAATTTGTTCATTTTCTTGCTTTAACCTTGAGGCTTAGCTGTAGAAGTGGAGCTCTCTGTATTGGGTGTCTTTCATTTCCTGCTGTCTTCGGCTGAGTTTTTCTTTTTCTTTCAGCCAGTGGCATATCAGTACATTGTGTAAGGTATTTGTGTAAATGCCAGCGGTTTTGAAAATGTTCACTTTTTATTTTGCAAGCACTGCAGACACTTGGACTTGTATCCGTGCACAGCTGCCAAAGCTGAAATATTTTCAGAAACAGAGCCCAAATAAAACTTTCTAGATAAATGCTTCAGCATTTTGTTGTGCAGTTATATTCCTAAAGCTAATACTAAGGTTGATTTTCTGGCCAGATGCATGTGTGGTAGGCAAAACTTGGAAGTGATGCCAGTCTGATTTATGCCGCCATGCATAATGGAACAAATGCATCCTCTCCTGTCACAACACTGCCAAG